ATTTAAATTTAAAGGAGTGAAAAATATAGCGAATTATATTCTTGAATTAAAAGATATAAAATATATTAGAAAGCTTTAGATACATCAATTTATAAAACACTGAATTAAATTAAAAATATATTTTAGTTATATTTATAATTTTTAAAAAGCTTTTTGTAAAGATCTCAAGCTTATTAAAAACTGGTTTCGATTAATTGCAAATATATAAGCGAAATTCAATATTTTGAATAGCGATTTCTATAACTTTAATAAAATAGACTTTATAATAAATATAATATACCCCGAAATGATTATAATTAATATTAAGAGATATAATAGAAGTAAATCAATACAATTAGATAATTGAGAATAAGCTATAATAATAATATATGGAAATAAGGAGGGTGAAACTATTCCCTTATTTTTAATAATTTAGAAACAGATTCATCTCTTTAATTAGTATACTAAAACCGATCTTCCTGTAGAATAAACTATTAAATCTATATCTAATAGATGAATAAATAATGAGATAGGTTTAAAATAGTTGAAAAACTTTAATAAATACACTAAGAATTAAAGAAAAAGCAAATATTAAATATTAATACTAAATAGACATAAAAGTTATAAATCAATAACTTTTTAAATATATTATAAAGAGAACGATATTATATATTTAAGTTTATTATTATATTCAAGTCATTTAATTTAGTTACTTAATACTGACTGTTTTAGTAATCTAAAATGTTTATATAATAGTTAAATTAATAGATTTATTAAGGTATATATCAATTATATTTCAAAGGTTAAATTCTTTATAGCTTTTAAAGCTATATATAAAGAATCAATTATCTTTTAGAATATAAAATCAAAGTTTCAAAGAATAGATTTAATATCTTTCGATCTTAAAGCTATGTTTTCGAAACTAAATATTCAAATTTACATATCTACTCCCCTTTCTTTCAATCAAAATTTATAAATCTCTTAAACTCTTTATAATTCATTTGAAGCTTTTTTATAATCAACTTTAGTAAAATCTCGAATAATTTGTTATCAATTAAGCTCCTTTATATTTATACTCGAAATTATATTAACTTTAGCTAAGAATATAAAAAGATTAACTTATAAAAATACACTTTTAAATATAAAGATTTGTATACTTTAAGTAGTAATTAAAACATTAAATAAACATCGATATATAAAAAAAACTTAATTACATTAAGGAGAAGTATTTATTGAATAAAAGGCTTTTAATATATTATCTTAATAAAAGGTTAATATTTAGATTCAATATAATAAGTATTAAAAAGAAAGGAATTCTAATAGGAAAGTATCTTCTAATTAATACTATAGTAAGTATAAAAAGACTGAGTATAATATAAGGATTTATCAAAATGATTTAATAGATTCTAAATTATAAAAATCTTTATAATTTCAATCAATTGATTTAATTGTTGTTGAATAATATGAGTTTGAAAGTATGAATTGAGGTGAAAGTGGTCCACTTAATGATATGGTTTATTCAATGATAAATCACGTTATATTAAGAATTAAAGAAAGAATAAATATTAAATATTAGTACTAAATAAATATAAAAGCTATAAATCAAAAGCTTTGCAAATATACTATAAAGAGAATAATATTAAATGTATATATTTACTATTATATTCAAATTATTTAATTTAATCACTTGATATTAATTATTTTAATAATCTAAAATATTCATATGATAATCAAATTAATAAATTTATTAAAATATATATCAATTATATTTCGAAAATTAAATTCTTTATAGCTTTTAAAACTATATATAAAAAATCAATTACTTTTTAGAATATGAAATCAAAATTTCAAGAAATAGATTTGATATCATTTAATTTTAAAGTTATACTTTTGAAATTAGATATTCAAATTCGTATATTTACCCTTCTTTTTTTTAATCTAGATTAATAAATTTCTTAAATTCCTTATAATCTAATTGAAACTTTTTCTTAATTAATATTAATCAAATCTCAAATAAATCATTATCAATCAAGCTTTTCTACATTTTTATTTGAGATTATACTAGTTCTAGCTAAGGGTATAAAGAGATTAACTTATTAAAATACACTTTTGAATATAGAGATTTATATATTTCAAAAAATAAATAAAGTATTAAGTAAATATTGATATATAAAAAAAACTCAATTATATTAAAAAGAAATATTTATTAAACAAAAGGCTTTTAATATATTATTTCAATAAAAGATTAATATTCAAATTCAATATAACGAATATCAAAATGAGGGGAATTCTAATAAAGAAGTATCTTCTAATAAATATTATAATAAGTATGAAAAGCCAGATCATAATATAAGAACCTATCAAAACAATATAATAGATTCTAAATTATTAGATTCTTAATAATTTAAATCAATTGATTCAATGATTATTGAATAATTTGTATTTGAAGGTATAAATTGAGGTGAAAGTGGCCCACTCGGTGATATAGTCCACTCGGTGTTAAACTACGTTATATATAAATATAGCAATTCCCTCTTCATACAAAAAGGAGGGCGAAGATTCAACACCTGTATGTGGTGCCCTTTATGAACCTATAGTTCTTTTATTAGAATCTATAGAGCTAAGATTGAATCATTAACTTTCTAGTAATTTGTAAATTATATTGATTCTATTTCTTCGAATTATCTCTTTCTAGAAACCTGATTGTCCTTCCACCGATCTCTTCGATATTCTTATATAATATAAGATCAATTTTGTTAATCGAAAAATGAACAATATATAATAAAGAGAAAGGAATGCTAAAAAGGGAATAGAAAGGAATCTCTTGGAGAAATAAAAAGGGATTTTTCGAATTTTTCGAATTTATAGTTTGTAGGAATATTAGAGTAACGATTTAGGGCTTGTCTAAAAAAGATTCGAACTATCTGAAGCCTTATATCATTTAAACCAGCGTATTTCCATCTTAAATAGAATAAAAGGATTATATAAATAATAATTATAATTATATATGAAAAATGATTATAAAGCTATATATAATATAGCTTGAAATACTTTCTAAAATGTATAATAAAATTATAATACTATAAGATTAGAAACCCAGAATTATATATTAAAGAATCCCTTTTTCCCTTTATAATTTTTGAATTCTTTAATATATAATATATTATTTTAAATTCTTAATCTAGTACATCTCAATACCCCTTGGAAGGTCTCTTTAAACGAAAATTAATACTACTACTACTACTACTCTTCATATAAAAAGAATAGACAGAAATAAAACAATCCTTTTAATCATACATATTATATATACACACCTTATCAAGTCTGCTCAACATTAATAGAAAGATTATAAAGATTCTATAATATAATGAGATTTTATAATTGCGAATCTAAATCTTTTAGGGGGGAGTAGGTTTTCTTTACTTTCCTAGTTATCTTATGTAATTAACACCACTTAGATGTATTGCATAGTCAGTATAACTTAGCTACAGATAGATTGAATCGATTAAGACTTTACTACTACTATATCATTTAGTGAATTCGTATAGAGCTTAGATAACCCCTTCCCTACCCTCCCAATCAATACGACTCAACGAGTCAGCCTCCTTCTATCAAAATATTCACTAAAGTGTTATACGGCTACAATACTTCTACACCTTCAAACATAGCCCTCTTCAACGGATACTCTTCACCATCGCAAGTTGCGAAAGTGCAGAACAGCCTCAGTCTCCGGCTACATCTGAAGCAACAATCTTAACATACAGTCCTACTTTCTCTACAAAATACTTCAACGTTAATACACCACCATATCTACGCAACAATTAACAAACATGGCTCCGATGTTGCCCCTCTTCCCAAAGTTTGTCTTCATGGTCCTGGAGCCTATTTCACTGTAAGTTTGTATTTGACAAGTGCAATGTTGACGACATCAGCATACTGATTGGGAAATAGTGTGGCTGCTTTCATAGTTGCAATGATCTCCCCAGAGTGGTTCATTCAGGAGCAGGTTGTAATTTCACGCCACCTGCTTATCAGTGATAATGCACGGGCTGTTGCGCTACAACTAGGCATGGTGTATCTCCTGATGGCCATGGTAGAGATTGCCATTCTTAGCGGTACGCAGGAGGCGAAAGTCATTAGGAACTATCTCTTTGCTTGTTGGTTGGGTGATATTGGTCATTTTGCTGTTACCTACCGTGTCTTAGGATGGGAAAGGGTCGGAAATGTCACTCATTGGAATTCAATGACTTTTGGAAATATAGGAGTAACGGTATGACCACTCTTAATCTGTACTTTTCATGCGGTCCATTCAATGGCTAACATGTAACAGGTATTCTTGTTCTTGACACGTTCGGCCTATCTTCTTGGCCTGTTCGGTCCACATAAGAAAGGCGCTGCAAAGCTTGCTTGAGATGAGATTATTTGAAATGAGCCCCGAGGCTTAAGGAAAGCATACAAGCATGATATGGATATCCCATGAATCGTTCCACCATTATTCGACTGGCGAATACATCAATTTGATTTGGGCAACATTACATGAAGAACTTTCCGCTGATGCTCGTTGGGCCACAATCAGCTATATAAATGGATACTCAATAAAATGATTTATCTTGATGCAGTGTTCTGTACTAGTAAATAATTTCAATGATTGCCCATAAACATTCTGTAATGGTTGACCAGTTGCCACTAGAACGGAGGGCCGTCGCGTCGTCTGTGTAAGCTTTTGCTTCTACTATGTCTCCTCCCGACATTTTATTCTAAACGTGAATGGACAAATCGCATGAGTACGTAAAACAAAGAGGCGATGCTGCCAGAAAAGCTCAACTTGAAAAGTTCATTACTGACGACACACATGCCCTATCTAGAAATACAAGCCAAATCAATAGCTGACTATATGTGTCGTGTTGATATTCACGCCACACTAGTAAATTCAAAGATTGACAAAGAAGATAACACATGCCTCAGAGTGTTTCGTCGCCAATGAGCATGGCTATTATGAAAAGTGGAGTATCTCACACAGATCAATCTTTCCTGTCGTTTTCATCCCTCCGAGGCTCGAAGTTAAGCTATTACAACTTTTAGCATAGTGTTTGCACCGTAAACTTAGCGAAGCTTACCGTATTTCCGTTGTACAACTCATGATGGTTGTCATTATCATTCTGATCTCTAAGAGTTCTTAAATTTGACGCACGGCTACCTCCTGCTGATGCGCTAGGTCCGGCCACCTGTTCTGTACCCGATGCAGCAGCTGAACCACCAACAATGCCGCCAAGAGTATTTAATACCCTATTGACACCCCAGGCGCCGAGGCCGTATCCAGCAGCAATCCCTCTGGATAAGATGCCACTTGATTCTGTTGCTTCATAAGCCGAAGTATATGTTTGAACCGGAACAATGATAAGTCTGTCGCCTCTATATTAGTTTCCAAGAGCATTGATCAAGGCTGTATAGGCCTAAGTGAAAGGCTACTCACGTGGCGCTTGGAAACAGACCTAACGATGCCAAGTGTTGACTTTCATCGGTCATTGAGAGGGTTTTATTTGGCAAAGGCGTACAAACGTGCTTGAATATATAAGGCACGTCGTCCTTTTGTTGACTGTCAATCCACTAGTCATCGTCAGCATTGCCATTTATTGTCTTTAGGTACATAGAAGTTAATGGTGATGATGCAGTCTTTCAATACCCCAGAGAGATATAATTGGTGCTTTGATGGCTTCTTCACATTACCTTTCTCACGTCACCACTTAGGGTACTGGTGCTAGGAAATCTGGAACGAATAGAAGATCCATCGAAAAGTCTGATCTGAAGGGCACAATCCTGCGCCTTTGACACCGGGGTTGGTATGGATATATCCTTGTCGCTGGATACCACTGGCTGTTCTGCGGAGTTAGTACTACGGCTAGGCTTGCGTCCTGCATCGTTTCGTCTTCTTGCTTTGTCACTCTCAACGAGTGCAAGAATACGCGCTCGCTCTTCTCTGGCCTCTTGCTGACGCTTCTTTTGAGTCGCAGCATAACTAACGGTGTCCGCCGCTTGAGATGGTTTTTTAGAGTGATCTTCCGCAGTGCCCCTTGAGTCTTCGGGTAATTTACCTTTAGGATCTTTAGGAAGAGAGCTCGAGCTCGGTTGCCCAGTAGCATTATTACGAGTGGATTGTAAAGCGGGCGTAGAGCCGGTGTTAGGATTCCCAGTGGGTGAAGCACCCGATAATTGGCCTTCGGACGTACGTTGTTCTGAATTCTCTAAGGTTCGCGCTCCATTTGGTGACACAGGGCGATCATTCTCGACATTCCTCTGGTTAGATGTAGAATCCAAAGCTTTCTTGAATCGCGTTAGAAAGTCGTCTTTGGATATGCCTGCACTTAAGTATTCTTTGAGTTCTCCATTCCTGTTGGCCCAGACGTCAGCACTCCCAACACAATTTTTGATTGCCTAAAGTCAAGAGTATAAGAATAGCGGGGCCAAAGAATTGAAGCAAAAGAAGTAGATATATGTCTATAAAAGGGGAAAGCGTGACTATTCGCGAATTCATGCCACTTCAACATGAACAAGAAAGGCGCTCTCTATCTCACTTGAACATTTGAGATAAAGCACCATCTATGAGAATGCATGATTGATTTATACCCCGAACTGATAACATCTGCCCCACCCATGGACATTAAGATATACCAAATGAGAAAATGAAAAAATGTCGCTCACCGTATAGCAACCAGAGTTGGTGCTTTTGGAATAGGAAAGATTGCAGCGAGATAGTTGGCTTCTTCAGAACCAGCACTGAGACGCAACAAAACCGTTCTTTCTTGTAGGTGAGAACTTAACTAGACAGCGATTTAGCTCAAGCCAGGAGGGGTTCACAGTTCTTGAATTACCTCGGAATCTCTTAAGAAATCATCTTCCCAGAGTTTACTTTCTTCGTTACCATCTGTTGGGCACGCGGTCATTACTTCAATCGAATGAAAATACGAGAGGAATGATATTTACTCGTTACGAAACATGCAACAAGTTTAGATTCCGCTAAAGCTTTGCTGATCCCGCTATTGATATCGCCGGTGTAAAACATTGCCGCCGCTACCATATACCGAAATTGCCAAACAATATATTTCTCGAATGACTTTGCAAAAGTGGAGAGTATATCGGGTTCTGGAGTCAATATGAAGAGCGTGCGTGTTATGAAGACCGGCTCCAGCTATGAGGACGAAAAATATTAACAGGTATGGTATGTGACGTGAGCAAGTCAACAGATCGTTGAGGGGAAGTACAAAGAGTGGATTTCTCTACTGCAACGTCCTGGATTGTAAGTGAATGGAACAGTGTAAATATCACCTGGTATTCAAGGTATCTGTGAGGGTCAATGTAATTGCTTCAATTCTGGAAGATATGATGTTGTATGATATCCTGATGGAAAGAGTTTGTAGTGACAGAGTGAATAGAAATGCCAGATAGATTCTGGGTACTGAGTACCTAGGCATTTGATAGCCTTCAAATCACCTCCAGCCCCCGGAGCGGAGGGCTATGTAATCACAAAGGTTCAAGTGGCTGATGTGGCGAGTGTGGCTGAAACCCGCTCAAATAAGTAATCAGACAACCTTGGAAGCTCAAAAAATAGTCTTGCACGTGCACGGCATACCTTATGTGACGATAAGAGAGCTGGAGAGAATATATTACTTATACTTACGGAGTATAGACACCTGGTAGAATCTACTACTGTAATAACACCAAAGGAACACTTAGCATATTGACGTGGTGTATAAACTCCATGCGTCAATCGTATTAAATATGCGTTCCCCTGTCTCAGCTCTATCTTACAATCGTATCAATACGTTTTCATCCTATGCTAGGAGGATAACTTTTCCCTTCCAATCCCCAAAATGCCCAAGAAATCATCAATCCTTCGCGGGAACCCGCGTCAAGTCCAGACAGGCTGCAGATGATCCCAATTTCACATCTATAATAGACAATCCTCCGAATTTAGTTCGCACAGGAAGAAGGCATGGGCCTGGCCTTATTATTCTAGGTAAGTCATGGCTTGCCCAACCATTATTGCTGAGAAGACTGTCTGATATACATGATAAATAGCTTTGATTCCTCTAACGGCTTTCGCCTTGGGGACATGGCAAGTCCAACGTTTGGATTGGAAATCAAAGCTCATTGCCAAATTTGAGGATCGCCTCGTTCGTGACCCATTACCACTTCCCCCACACATTGATCCTTCAGCAATAAAAGAATTCGACTATAGAAGAATTTTTGCGACTGGTCACTTTAGACACGATCAAGAAATGCTGATCGGCCCTCGATTGCATGATGGGAAAGACGGATATCTCGTCATTACCCCTTTGGAGCGGGATGGCAAGGGCACTAGTGTTCTTGTAAACAGAGGTTGGATCGAAAAGAAATTTAAGAAGCAAACAAGTAGGCCCGACGGGTTGCCTCAAGGGGAGGTGACGGTCGAGGGATTGTTGCGCGAACCTTGGAAGAAGAATCTTTTCACGCCAGATAATAGTCCACAGACTCAGGAATTCTACTTTCCTGACGTCGAGCAAATGGCTAAGTTGACAGGAAGTCAACCTGTTTGGATTGAAGAGACAATGGGTAAGATGGCATTTTTATTATATTTCAAGTGCCATGAAGCTTACAAAACCACAGAACCTGACCTCTTGATGGCTTGGGATCGCGCTGCACGTGGGATTCCAATAGGAAGACCGGCAGAAGTTAATCTCCGAAACAACCACACACAGTACATATTTACATGGTAGGTACCTCTAATTGTTGGCGAAAAAGTAATTGCAACCCGTCGCCATGTGTGCTAACGCTTTAATTTCACAGGTACGCCTTGGCTGCTGCTACGTCAGTCATGCTATGGATGGTTGTGAAGAAACCATCTGCAGACATCGCTCGACGAGTTCGTCAGAATAAAGAATGGTCTTGAGGATTGCGCGTGATGTACCTCATTTTCTGGGTGGTTTTGGTCGGGATCGATCTTTTGAGATCAAGGGGGGAACCATTCTTACGTCTTGTAAAAGCTCTCTAGGCAAGCGACTTTGTGCAAGTGAAAATGGCGTTGTTGTAGCATCGGTTTGGCGTTGTCTGTAAAACACTCAGCACGTATCAAGACTTTAGTCATATTTAGATAAATACCTTCTCATCAGCATTAAAACATCACTCTCATCAATGGTTTTGCGTCCAGCATGTTCCGAGTATGTGCTTAAATCATCACTAATCTGTTCGAAAAACCAGTCGGTTGCTTGCATGATCGCATCAAGAGCATCTCCACTCAACTTTTTTCCTTTGCCGGCTCCATTCCTTGCCAGGTTGATTGCATGTTTCTTCACTACACCTAGAGGCAATGATTTGTATTTCAGTCCATGTTTTGAAACCTTGTTAACCTTCTTCTGGAATGTCCTCTTAGAATTTTCAGATGTCGCCTTTTGAACGGATACTCTAAGGGGTTCATCATCACTAAAGCGGGAGTCTTCGAGCGCTCCGATCGACAGTCTTCGGGTGTCATCATCACCGTCCATGGCTTCATCGTTCATTACAAGATCCGAAAGTATTCGAGTGTCACTCTCACCATTCATGGCTTCATCGTCCATTTCAAAATCATCTCCTTGAAAATTGGCAGGAGGTGAAGAATTTTCGTCCATAATAGGCATCGCAGTGGGATTATCTTCTGGTGATGGCGAAGGTTCAAATTGCGCTGGTATCTCGGGCTGCGGAACTGTGAACACAAACGTCGCATCCCTTTCCTCGGACGGTGAATTATAAGGTCTGATGTCACTACTTCGCCCTGGTAGAAGAGATCGGCGATGCAACGCGGGCTCTAATTCTCCCTGTAATCCTGCGCGGTCACTAGCTTGCGTCAGCTCAATGGACCTGTTTGAATGTAGGCACCTGAACTTACCTTCCAAAAAATGGAGAGTTAGCCATCTCTCGGAAATCATCATTCTCAAAATCATTTGCATTGAAGAAGCTTGTTTCCGTTTCATCTCGTCCAAATTCTGCTTCGTCCAGGTTTCCGAACTGGTCGCTTCCACGGATGCTCCCGAAACTACCCCTCGAAAACAGCCTGCTCGGCCTCTCAGTGACAGCTCTTCTTGAAAGCTCGATAGACCGCGTGGTCAGATTTTCGTCCTCTAAAGCCGCCAAACTAGGAAGCAAAAGACTTTCGTCGTCCTCATTATCATCTTCGTCATTGTCGTCGTCTAGGGGGATGGAAAGTCGTGGGGGCACAAGATTCGGACCGTCGTCAAAGTCATCATCCAAAAGTAACGTCTGTCTTCTGGAATTGCTGGGTGCTCTTTGAGGTGATGGAATTGTCGGACGGGTTTGAGGAGCTAACGTCCTGCTCAATAATCTCAATATATCTCGAGGTGTTTCCCTTTGCTGTCTGCCACTTCGTCTTCTATCCTTTCCTGGGGTCAATCCTGCTCGTCGAGCCTCAACTTCTCGCAAAGCTGCTCTCCCATGAGGTGTCAAAGTCTTATTCCTAAGCTCTGAGCCACCTAGCCTTGGGCCACGATTGGGCGTCCTCGCATGGCTTGCGCTTGTTGGAGATAGTCCAACAGTAGAAGTGCGGCGCAAAGGAGTTTCTGGTCTTTCACTCATAGCGATGTGTATCTTCTATTAGCAAATAGATAAAATATCAATTACTATGCTTATCTTTATCCTGGCAAAGCTGAATTTAAAATTGACGGACAAATCTATTCAGTTCCGAAACAAATAAAACATATACTTAGTGGTATCTCATAGTGTTAAGTTAGACATGATGATCGAAATACCAATGTTTAGATAAGACGCGTCCAGAACAGTAATTGTACGCGCGAACCTTATCTTATCTTAGCGTTCGTTGATATGCAGTGCATCTGTGGATCCGCAAGGCTTTAAATTATTTTATAAAGAACTTCGATTGAAAAAGGCTGAGAAAGAGAAATAGGAAGAGAAGGCAATTGATAAATTCTGTGCATGCTACAACCAAAATTGGAATCATAACCGCCAGAGTCAAAATTCCTGTCCATATTAAAACCTAAGCAGGATCTTTCACGCAAAACTTCACAGCGAGTCCTACTACGAAAGTCTTCGAACCGGCGCCGACTTGAGCTCATACTGTCACAATGTCAATCGAAAATGAACTTCAGGATCCTCTGATTGAAGAAGTGAAAGTTCCAACAACCCGATCTGGACCTGACACTTCTAACAAAACAACTTCGAAGAAAAGAAAGCGAGGAGGAAATCATGATCAAGAAGGGCCCAAGGAAAAGATTAACGAAGTTGCGAAAAGGAAGAAGCATTCCTCCTTTAATGACGAGGATATCGATGTCGAGGCTGGTCTCAACAATGCGATTGCAAAGATGAATGATCATTTAATAGTTGATTATGTCGCAAGCCAAACAAGAAGATTCGAAAGTGATCTTAGTTCCGTCGAGTTAGAAGATCGATACATACCAGGTGAACAGAACCTACCTTTAAATATGCTATGAACTTGGCTAACGTATTGGCATTTAAATAGTCTCTGCTGTTCAGGATACTACATCATGGACGAAGCCACGAAGCCTTGATAATTTACCTGAGTTCTTGGAGAAATTTTCTGATAATACAACAAAACTTTGGTCTGCATCAAAGAAGAATGGATCACCACACACAATAATTGTTACTGCTGCAGGCCTAAGGGCAGCCGACCTTGCCAGGTATGATCATGTTCCTGTTATGATTAGGGTTGGCCATATATATGTATGTATGTTGTCCTCTGACGTTTGTATAGAGCGGTACGAAAATTTCAAACCAAGGATGTGAAAGTTGCAAAGTTGTTTGCAAAACACATCAAGCTTAAGGATTCCATTGGATTTCTCAAATCTTCAAGGACCGGAATCGCTGTCGGTACACCTCAGAGATTGAAGGATTTGATGGATGGAGGTTCGCTCGCGGTCGATAGGTTGGAGAGAATTGTTATCGATGCCTCTCACATTGATCAGAAGAAGAGGGGTATACTTGAAATGAAAGAGACGCAGATCCCTTTGACAACTTGGCTGGGCCAGAAAGCGTTCAGGGAGAGATATGACAGCTCCA